TTTGGTGTAGAATAGGTCCCACCATTTCATTTCACCAACGAAAAGAAAACACCAAAAAAGTTATCAAAAATACTTTTCGTTTTTTTTTTCTTTTACAAGTTGGGGCATGTGCGTTTTCTTTCGGAAGTGACCTGTCGTTTCTGGGGTCCACATTTTTAATATTCTTGATGACGTGTCTACCTCACGTGTTTAATGTCTCGTGCTTTTCAACTGCTTCTAATAGCACTGACGTGGCCCCACGACATCTGTCAATCCTATTTTAGGCTTCATCAGTATTTGGGCTGGTTAACAATGGGCCCATGTTATAGGTCACTATTAAAAAAGGCCCACGAGAGGGAGATTATGGATAAGCGTAAACAACACAAATTTCATTAGCTTAAGTTTAATTATGTATCCTCTCGTGAGTTTTCAAAATTATCATTCGTATCAGATTTGGGTCCTCAAACACATATATACGATGCATTAAAATAAATGTATCTTCACATATATAAAGTCAAAGTTATGTATGATTTGTTCCTAATACACTGTATATAAATTCATCCATATATATGTTTTTCAAAATGTACTCTAAAATGCCAGATACATATACAATGCGTTATTTGCATGTATTTCGGATATATCAACTCTCTCGATTGTCTTCCTCCTATCTCACTCGCCTCTCTCTCTATGTATTTTTATTTTAAAAAGTATATGATAGCTAAATTTTATATATTCATGTATGTCTAACTTGAAATCTGGTATGAAATTAATAATTAGTCAAATAATATATAATTATTTTGAACTATAAAGATAATTAATAAAGGGAAACTTTCACATATAACAAATATAAAATTTTTAATTTTATGCGATGACAAACTTTTCAAAATTGCATTTTGTAGAAAAGTTATAGTTTGCTGCGGATGAATAGTTGTTTGATGAATTGTATAATTAGTATATTTATATAGCGCAGAAGAAACTGTATAAAGTAAAGAGAAAAGTGAAAACATTTGTTTGTAAACTATGAATGAATCGTTGTTTGGTGAATTGTATAATTAGTATATTTATACAATGCATGAGAAATTGTATAAAGCAAAGAGAAAAGAGATAACATATGTTTGTGTATTTATTTAGTGAAGATTCGTCCTTAGTTTGGATGTATGATATGCACAAACAAATTTCAATTTATGTATGTGTATGCGTTTGTGCAATTGTATATGTCTAAATGAACATTATACAAAAGTATCCTTATACAAATGCAAAAACTTATACAAATCAATTGTGTAATTTGTTTGTGTATAAAATGGGAAAGAGAGCAAGACAATAGAAAATTAGGCAGGGAAATATTTGTATTGTATAATTATAAGTGTATAGGACGAAGATATATATGTGTTTGTATGTATATATATAATTTCTTCTCGCTTTATACAATTTTCGCTCTATTGTATAAAACGAGAGAGGCGAGCGACCGAGAGCGAGCGAGAGAGGGAGAGTGGCGAGCGAGAATATGAGGGAGAGAGGCGACTGACAAACAGTTTGCTATGGAACAAAAATAAATCAAGCGATAGCTACTATATTTATTTCACATAATTAGTTTGTCATTTTATTTATCCCATTAATAAACATGATAAAATATTTGTATAATTAGATAGTTTTTTTTGTAGTCAAAACTGATATATCTGGCTGAGTTACGAAATATCACCTTTTAAGTCTTCGTTCATATTTTTGTCCATGTTCTTTAAAATTTATGTAAATATGAATCTCTAAAACTGACAAAATATTAACTTACCATCTAAAATCTGTAAAATTTTAGATTGTGAAATAAAGTTTTCTTATAAGTTTGTTAGCTTGATCAAAAGCGATCTTTAGGCCGTAAAATGTCCTTAAATTAAATTGGGTTTAGTAAGCCATGTGATGGTCTAATTTAGCAGGCCCAATTCCAGAGGTTTTCAAGCACAATATTTTTCAAAGTTTTGCTTAATCAGAACCAAATCCTAATCCTTCGTAATATCAATTAGTTAGAAATCAGTTTAATTAAATGTGCCCGAGGTTTAGTTGGGCAAGGGAGATTATTGATGATTAGTTGGTGTTATTTATTTGTATTTACTTCATGAAAGTACTATAGATGTTTTGCAGACATAATTTGTTGGAATGAGCTGAACTATGTAAATAATTGTGATTCAACTGATTAATTATTGTTGGCTCTTTGAATTCTTGTTAGTACATGCTAATAGTAGTTTTTTTTTAAAAAAAAATTTATTCAAAAAACATAATACTCAACGTTCTAGCCTAAATTTGACTGTTTGTTCTCAAAATTCATATTGTGTCACAATAGCTTTTGCATGTGTTTTTTGAATGACAAATAAGTCACTTCAAATCCTCTGGAGGTTGAGGATGAGAAAGTGATGGGAACGACGATGCTAGTTCAAAATAAGATGACGACTGACTCATTTATTGAACCAACAAACAATTTGATATTACTCGTTTAAATAAAATATTACTCGCGTAATTTAGTTAAGTCACAATAAATATCGTTAATGCGCCTGGGATGGAGTAATAATGTTGATAGAAATTGTGGGCGCAAATAAGTTTTGCTTGTTCCCTTAATTAAGTTTTCTCTTGTTTACACAATCAAGAAGAAACTTCACTATTGTGTCCTTGAATGAACAATTATCGTAGCCGTGATTGATGGTTAAGGTGAATTTATTGTTCGAGTATATATATAATTAGGTATTGAAATTTACCACAATAACAAAAAATGTGATGATTAGTGTGCTACTTACTATCATTAAATTGATTTGTTATCTTCGTTGCCTTTTTTAATTAATAAGTACGCATTATTACCTTTTTCGTGTATGTCCTTGTGGAAACAATTTTTTCCACCCTAATTATAATCAATTTGATGTAGACGAATGTGGAACTTATTAAAATTTACTATATTGTGATATAATTGACTTGAGATAAAGTTTTGGTAGTATCAAAAGACACTGTCATATTTCGAAATCATTTTTAGAAAATGTATCTTTATTGATTATTTTGTCAAATATGTGATATGAATAAAATATTAATAGTATCATTAAATATTCATCAAAATGCATACATTATTTTTTAGAAATTAATCTTAGAAGATGTATGGTATTAATTAGAACTTGATAGATTTTTAAGGCTACTAGATCATTGACATCTATATTAAAACAGAAGAATACTTAGTAGGCGTTTGGCCATGCGACCGTTTGTACATGTCATTTTATGCGGATTTCATTTTATGATTTCGTATTATAAGATGTGATATCATATTCTCTAAAAATCATAATATGGAATTACATGGTGATACCATATCATGATTCGAGATGTTTTAATATAAAAATTGATTTACGAATTTATATTTTGTTAAAATAATCCACATTTCGGATTTCATTTTATGATTTCGTATCATAAGATGTGATATCATATTCTCTAAAAACCATAATATGGAATTACATGGTGATACCATATCATGATTTGAGATGTTTTAATGTAAAAATTGATTTACGAATTTATATTTTGTTAAAATAACCCACATTTATAACTACTAACCATTTATTTCACATATAAATAAAATTTATGATCACATCATTACATTTTTAAATTTATTATTCTCACCGACATAAAATTTATTATTCTCACTAACATATAGTCACTTTAACTCACACTTCGCGATTGTAGAGTAATAAAATCTTGAAGAGCACGTGAAAGGTGTTTCATTTTTACTCAAATATAATGATGAAATAATTACTTAAGTGGACAGCAAATAACTTTGTCATACTTTATTATATGGATTATGATTTTTTTGATTTGATAATATTGAATAAACAATTGGGGCTATTTTAATAGTTTTAGAACTTATGAGAGTTTTATATTTATAAAAAAATAAACAACACCAAAATTCCATATAGCATATCCAAACAAAGCTTAAATTTCGTCTCATAATTCAATATCATGATATCATATCGCATGGGACTCTTAATTGATTGGTGAAATCAAATATTTATAGAATATAAGATAGACATAATTTTCAAACTTGATCATTTTTAAAGTTATGTTTCCCTTGAATTTATAAATTAAAGTTCTTAAAAAACTTGATCATTTTTCAAATCAAAATAATGGTGATATTTTAAAAAGAAAAGAGGAAATATGATAATTAAAAAGTGTTTTAACAAGTATTTGATTACAATTCAAAGAAGAAATTCATATACTCAGTAATTTAATATGAATCTGCGTATGAAATTATACAACTTTGATTGATATTTGTCCAAATATTTTTGAATCCACGCAAAAGGTTTGTTTAAAAAAAATGAACTTAATAGGTATATTTCGATCTAAACATTTATATCTTAATACACATGCGTATTTAAAATCAGACATCTTAATTTTAATGAAAATAAGGAAAGCCTTAGTTGTCACCATTTTAGATTTCACATTATTTAAGAAATGAGGTAAAAGTTTCAGTAAACATGAATCGATTTCTTTTAATTAGTTAATTTGACCAATGAATGTGAATTATTTATCTCATTTTTTATGTTGATCAAATTTCATATATTTTAAGTTTGATAACTTGCAAAAATTAAGTAGAAAAAATAATATCATTTATGCATTGAGTTTATGAAATTACAAATATTAAAAATATATATACTTTAAACAAAGACGATAGGTAAATAAAAATATAAAATATATTATTTTAAATATTACTCCCTTCTTCTATTTTTAATTGTCATAATTTAATTTTTTTAATATCAAATTATTAAAATTTTAGTGAAAATTGTACTTAAAATAAAAGACTATCATGGAGTATTAATTACTTTTTGAAATGGGGGAGTAGTATTAACTTAAAATAAAAGACTATCTTGGAGTATTAATTATTTTATTCTTTTTTTGAGGAAAATATTCAAATAGTAGTCAATGGTCAAGATAATAATTAGTTGAATGCGGTCGGTCAACTACTGAGTTATCGACTCCTATAAAACGTGGTAGAAAATCATTTTGCATTTGCTCTCTAAATTAAGTAGAAATAACAAAATCAGACGTTTGTTTCTTTGGCTTTGAAAGTTCAATCACTTTCCCATTTTCCCGGTGGTCCGGCGGCTACCTCATCGGCAACTGAGAAAAATGTCTGAAAATCACCCTCATGTTCTCATCTTTCCTTATCCAGCACAAGGACATATGCTTCCCCTTTTGGATTTCACTCATCAGCTAGTCAACAATGGAGTATACATCACTATTTTAGTCACCCCCAAAAATCTCCCCTTCTTGAACCCCCTTCTTTCCAGGAACCCATCAATCAAAACTCTCGTTTTGCCTTTTCCATCTCACCCTTCAATTCCCGCCGGCGTAGAGAACGTCAAGGACCTTCCTGCTAATGGGTTCCTTTCCATGATGTGCAATCTCGGAAAACTTCGAGATCCCATATTGGAATGGTTCCACAACCATCCTTCGCCGCCGTCAGCTATTATTTCTGATATGTTTTTGGGGTTTACTCACGAAATCGCCACCCAGCTCGGTATTCGCCGGTACGTATTCTCCCCCTCCGGCGCGTTGGCCCTATCTGTTGTTTATTCACTTTGGCGTGAAATGCCCAAAAGGAAAGACCCGAACGATGAAAACGAAAATTTTCACTTCCCCAATATCCCCAATTCCCCGAAATTCCCCTTTTGGCAGATCTCTCCTATTTACCGGAGTTATGTTGAAGGGGACCCAAGTACAGAATTCATCAGAGAATGCTATCTCGCTGATATAGCGAGTCACGGAATCGTTTTCAACACGTTTATCGAATTGGAAAATGTGTATTTGGATCATCTGATGAAAGATTTGGGTCACAACAGGGTTTGGTCTGTTGGACCAGTACTTCCTCCGGGAGAAGAAGATGATGTTTCCGTCCAATCAAACAGAGGCGGTTCGAGCTCTGTTTTAGCCAGTGAAATACTAGCATGGCTCGACAAATGTGAAGATCACTCAGTTGTATACGTCTGTTTCGGCAGTCAAGCTGTGTTAACAAACAAACAAATGGAGGAACTAGCCATTGCTTTGGACAAAAGTGGTGTCCATTTCATTTTGTCAGCCAAAAGAGCCACCAAAGGACACGCTTCAAATGATTACGGTGTGATTCCGTCTTGGTTTGAGGAAAAAGTGGCTGGACGGGGCCTGGTTGTTAGAGACTGGGCCCCACAAGTGTTGATTTTAAAACACCGAGCTATAGCCACATTCTTAACTCACTGTGGTTGGAATTCGACTCTCGAAAGCTTGACAGCAGGAATACCATTGTTAACATGGCCGATGGGTGCTGACCAATTCGCCAATGCAAACCTTTTAGTTGACGAGCATGAGGTAGCTATTAGAGCCTGTGAAGGTGTGCAAACGGTACCAAATTCAGACGAGTTGGCTGCGCTACTGGCGGAAGCTGTGCAAGGAAACAAGGTAGAAGACCGGAGACTTCGTGCATCGAAGCTACGAAAAATTGCAATTAATGGCATTAAAGAAGGCGGGAACTCATTTAAAGAATTGGCAGCGTTCGTAAAACATTTAAGGGAGGAGGCTACAATAATCGAAGCGTAAAACTAACTTTTGAGGCAATTAAAAATTCTAGAAAGTCCAAATCATTAGATTTATCGTTTACGATACAAATATGTAAGCATAGATTATTTTATGGACAAGTGTTTGCAAATTTGAAACTTCAATCTAAAAATATGCAATTAATATGTCAAGTGAAAAAATGCTTCTGTTAATAAGTATTTTATTTTTCAAATATAATTGTTTAATAGGAGTACTATATTAAGTCAAATCGTTTTTATAAATCAAACCAACTACCCTCATTTGGTCTGCCTGACCGACTATTCCACTGTTGTAGGTCAGGCTAGTGGAAATATTTGGTCTGCTTTTTTGTATTTTCCACAAATTTTCTTTAACTTCAACATATTATATGGTGTAGTATTTTTCTTGTTCAAACTTCCTAGTCTGTTGCTTTTATCTTTTATTTTGAATGACGGGGATGGTGAGGAAAAAAATGTTTATTTAATGAAGTTGAAGTATCATTTTTAAGTTAGTATCTATCTTGTCTGTGGTTGGAAGAGTTGGTGTAGGGCTAGGGCGAAATGTTAACTGATATTGTGAACGAGGGCGATAAGACATGCTTCGCCAGCTGCATAACTACTACAATTAAGATTGCGAAAATTTTACCCTTCAAGTCTCTACGAGAAATTATACTGAATATGTTATTTTACGGAATTTTTTTGAATAATGTGTATGCGAAAGTAATTGAAACATTAGTTATATCAAAATCAGGAATTATATAGGGCCCTACTTATATTGTTATGAGTCTTCCCAGTTCATCAAATCACTAATGTGGGCTCGGGTTAATTAGTGTGATTTTGAGATTATACTAATGGTGACAGTCTAACAGGAAAATAAGGGAAAAGCTAAAAAGAAGAAATAAAATGGCCTCTACCACTATTTAGAACTGTTGTGATACTGATGTACTTCAATTAAGAATAGTAATTTCAGGCCAAAAAGATGTGGTCAAATTTGAGGTGGATTTTTTAAAGTTGACATTAAATTTTAATTAGATATTTTAATTAAGTAAAAGGAAATAAACAAAAAAATAGCAAACGGAAAAAAATATTTTTTTAAAAAAAATACAAATGTGATTTTGAGTTTAATGAAAAAAAGATGATTTTTAATGAAAAAGACAGATAAGGTACCATTACCACTCTCAATCTTTTTCGTCGAAAAAAAATACGAACACACAAATTTTTATATTCTTTATTATCTCTTCCTCCCTCCTCTCTTTTTCTCTCAATAAAAAGAAAAAAGAAACATCTAAAACAATTTTAAAAAATAGATTAAGAACAAAATATTAGATATAAGGGAAAAGACAACTAGCATCGAGGCGGAGGGGGTGGGGGGTTAAATTTATATTTTTAATAATATATTAATTATATTTACTAAATAGATTTTAAAATATTTTTTAACTTAAAATGATTCATATAAGCATTTAATTGATTGTTTGTTACGTCATCAACAAGTGTATTATACTTTTCTTACAAATTTTTTGTTTATTGTAAAAAATATATTAAAATGACATAGCGGGAACCTCTATGAGGTATCTAATATAAACATCATCCCGTTAATATACTATGTGAAACTTGATATCAATTTTAGGGGTCAACAATGAATTTTATCGATGACTATTTAAAGTGATATCTAAAAGGTTTATCATTAATCATACAAGAAACTTTAGGGTTATAAATAAATAAAGATAATTGTTAAAATTACACCTAAATTATACCCTTTTTCTATTTCATACCTAAATAATTGCTTGTTTGAATTTAATACCCAAATTATTATTTTTTAGTTTGAGAAACACACTTCTCTCTTTTATACAACTGTCGTTATTATGTGTATGATACACTCTCTTATTTATTTTTAAAAATTGTCACATCACACTCTATATTGACAAAACATTCAACCTTCACAAAATTAAATAAATTATTGGTATTAATTAAAAATAAAAATTATTATCCAAAAAATATATATTTCTGTTAGAAAATAAAATGTAAATATTTTTCTTACCCATCTCTATCCCTTCCTCTCACGGTCCTTGTCCCTACCCCCCACCCCAACCCCGGCCATCTTTTTTAGTTTCTTTTTGAAAACAAAAATCATTTAATAATTTTTACTTCATCTCTTCCCCCTCCCCCCAAACCCACCCACCCATTCAAATACTAATTTAGATATTATTTTACTTTTTTTAAAAGATAACCCTACCCACCATATCTAAAACTCTCCTTCCAAATCTTTATCTCATTTTTGTATTAGATATATATATCAAAAATATTTTTTACTTGCTGCAGCAATTTTTTTTAATTTTTAAATTATTTACGTTATATTCAGTACACTAGTAGAATTTTTTCTCTAAAAATATATGAACTTACATATTTAATACAAAATAAGAAGAAGAAAAATTTGAAGCGGAGGGTTAAATAGAATAGGGTATAATTTTTATTTCTTAAAAGGTAACATAATATAAATATTTTTTTGGGAAGAGGAGGGGGGTACGTGAAGTAGGTGGTGGAGTGGGTAAGAAAATAATTTAAATTTTTGTTTTTAATATTTTTTTTTGTTATGGATAGTAATAATTTAATCTTTAATTTTTAATTAATATTAATAATTTATTATTTATTTTTTGTCAAGGTAGAATATTTTTTTCACGGAGAATGTCATGTCTGAGAGAGTGTGCATTACACACACCTCAAGTGTTTGTTAAATTTAAAAATGATGGTTTATGCATAAAACTCACACTCTCAATAGTTTAGGTATGAAACTAAAAATAAATAATTTCGATGTGCTTTTGACACACATCTCTAAAAAAAATCATTTCAAATTTCTTATGAGTAAAAATAAAATAAGTTTGTAAACCATGTCATGTTACAATATTTTAGGAAAGGATCATAATTGTCCTTTATCTTTGAGTTAAGAATCAAAGTAGTTTTTATCAATTAGCATGAAGCAATTTTGATCCTAGGTATTTTGAGAATTTGTATAAATTTTGTCTTAATCCAAACACCCGTCTATTTTTTTAATCGGTGTTTTCTTTGCACGTTCTCCAAAACTTTCTTTGCTTCCATTGTCACTGGATAATTAACTTTAAATATCGATTGATATTGTCAGAGATTTGCCGGTGTTATTGAGTAATTGATATTTTTAGCACGTTAAAGAATAAGAATATTGCAGGTGTAATACATGAAAATATGACAACATAATTTGATTAATGTAATCAAGCATGGAAATATATTAAATTTCTGGTGAATCCGTTTAATATCTTTGAAGGTTTCTCCTTATTGATTGTATAAACTGGATGCAATATATGACTTCCATTGATTGTTTGTATAGTTGACTTGATATATAATTTAAGAAAATTAAGAAAACACCGTAAAAGCCAAATTCAAAATGTTTTTGCATTTATATAGAGATCTTCTCCACTCTCAAGAGCCAATTCGATTTTAGAAAAATTAACAAGGTGTTTGAAAGAAGACTAAAAGTGTATCTAATCTTGAAATATTGAGGGTTAAAAGTGCTCTATATTAAAAGATAAAGGATTACTTTAAATATTAACAGAAAGGTAAAAGGACTATTTTATCCTTTTCACAAGTATTTCAGTGGCGCCAAATTGAACTTTAATCATAAAATACTGTCATTCGGAGATTCTTAGCAGTAGAATTATTTTTTTAGAAAATGTAGTCTTTCTGTTTTGTCAGTGTTACTGTATAGAATATTAAGGAATCAAAATAAATAAATATTGTAGTACTATTAACACCAGTACATGAAGGCACATGCCACTAATCAAAATTGGGTTATTGTTTAATTTCCCTCCCATGAGGGGGACTAAATTGTTGAACCAAAATCAAAAATAATTGTGGAGAGGCTGGAAATTATTTATAAGGGTATTTGTGGGTTACTTGTTACAATTTGATTTTTCGAGTCATGGTGGCATTTACTATATCCTATCAATAGGTAAGTTAACATATAATCCAAAACATCAAGTATTGAGTGTAAGGACAAAAATTAGAGAAAATAATAATTTAAATAAGAATAACAAGGCGAAAACAACCAAAATAAATATATACAGTTGTCCCTTCCAGAATTTGGAAGTCACTAATACAGAGCTATCTAATAAGGAGTACAAGTCCAATAGGTGGACCACAACAAAGCGTGTCTCAAAGACAACAATACTAGCTTAAACAAAAGAAGACAAGACAAACTCAAAACGTCAAGTACTCACCCTTGTCTCCAAGTCACACCCGCAAAAGAAGGATGGAACTAATCACCATTGGTATCTGGTACTAAGACCTGCATCACGAAATAGATGCAAAGTGTATTTCAAAGTAATTAGAATGTCATGTGAAAGTTTATAATTACAAATCAACGGTATAAATTAAATGACAAATTTATACTAAAAACATAATAATATTATATGAAGGGAAATATGACAAATATATTCTCAAACTATCGTAAATGATATGCAGATACCTTCGTCATACATTAATCCCTCTAACATAAAAACTAATATAAAAGAAAATATTAAAACGATGGAAAGAAAAGTGTTCTTATAAACAAAGCTCTTATTAAATGTCAACATTGTAGATGTTTATGTATGAGAAAATGGGCATTCAAATTTTATGGTTTCATAAGTTCTCCCTAAGAAAAAGATAATCAGATATTGAATAGAATTTTATCTTTTTCAGAAAAAAATAAAAATATTTATGATAACAAAAATTTACTTTGAAAGAAAGATAAAACTCAAAATATGATAGGAAAATCAGAACAAAACCTTGTGACGAGGTCTTAGCGTTCCAACATAATCTTTTTTTCGTTGTGAAAAAGTCAGTCGCATCATCCTGAAAATTCTCTGACTCAAGGTTCTGAAATGTTCCATTATCATCAGATGGATCATCGTTCTTCGAGTTGTGTGTACTTGCTGAATTCTTCGAATCCCTCTCATTGCTCTGATAATGAAATTCAAATTAAAAAGCAGTAACAGAGAAATCACTCAAACAAATAGTAAATTTACATATACTATTTAAAAGAGGAGAAAATCATGACCAAGAAGCCTATCGTAGTTTCCTGCATTTTAAAGGAGAAAATGCCCAAATTGAGAAATAATTTCTTTTCTTTTCTGTTCCTTTGATCATTTCCAGCTCACTAAATGCAAATTAAATAGGTATTTTTCCATCTAATTAGATCTACCAAAAAGTTTTTCTCTTGCACTTGCCGCACCTGATGATTCAGTTTTCTTCACTTCTTTCATGTCTTTCTTCCTTCCATTTTTCCAATGCTGAAATCCGCAGCTACCGGTACACCATCCAAAACTTCCTGAAATTTCAATTTTAGCTTTGAAAAATAACAACTAGTGGTTGTACAACTTCATCATCAACGAGTGAATTTCGAGTCACACGATGATAAGTCAAAACACAATTCATCATCGTGGAAAAAAGGGGAATTTAACAAATCAACTTTAGTACCTACTCCACACTGAGATGACTCGTCCTTGCGTTATCATTTTCAGCTTCATGTACCATCTGTTCAACTTCATAAGAAAGATCAACTATAAACTAAATTATAAAAAATGTATTGAAGATTGGAAAAAAGTACATACCTTGATCATCAGTATGAACAATTGTATCCTTTATTGTAAGAAAAATGAAGAAAAACATAAATGAACCAAAACTTAAAGACACCATTTTTGACCTTCTCTTTTTTTGGTATGTCTGTTATAATCTGCAATATAGAAGAGGGATGGACATGAAAGGAAACAGGGGAAATTTATAGAAAGCCCAAGTTCCACAAAGCTGAGGGTTAGAATTTTTTAACTTTTTCTTGTTTAAAAAATTGATAGTCTAGATGTGTTGATGTTAGGGAAGAATCGTTGTTAAGTTAGTATGTATCTTGTCTGTGGTTGGAAGAGTAGTAGAGAACTAGGGTAAATGTTAACTGATATTGTGAACGAGGGCGAGGACATATGCTTCACCAGCTGCATGTTATGGAACTTATTAAGCTTAACCCCACTCGTGAGATCACACTGAGTATATTATTATTTGTTGCTTGTGGAAACGCATTGATCATGTGTATGCCAATGTAATTGAGGCATTAGTTATATCAAAATCAGGAATTATTTAGGGGCCTTAGTTATATTTTGCCCCAGCCGAATAAGGATATCCCTCAAAATATATTGGGCTGAGATTAAGCAACCGGGTCAGGTTAAGTAGGGATCCGGGTTAATCAGTGTTATTTTGGGATTATACAATGTAATGGTAACAGGTAAAAGAGGAAAGCAAAAAAAAAAAGAAATAAAAATATATTCTTCTAGTATTTAGAACTGTTGTGATACTGATGATGTAAAAGATATGCCAATGACAGTAAGAAGTGTACATCCACAAAGGTTACCATTGATCATTGCAAGAAACTTTAGGGTCACAAAAATCATTTCAGATCTTTTACGAGTTAAAAAAAAAGGCGTAAAAATGACATAAAACTAAAAAGCTACAAACTAACCATGTGATGTTATACTGTTTCATCGGCACCAAATTGAGCTTTAATCATAAATTACTGTCACACTGAGGTTAGTAGTATTATTTTTAAACAAAATGCAGTCTTTCTGTTTTGACCAGTGATACTATATAGAATATTAAGGAATCAAAATACTGATTCTTACACATCAGTACAACACACCTAGAAAAAATAAATTATAGTATTAACTAGTACATGCCACCAAGCAAAATTGTTCCAAAATTGGGTTAGTGTATTGTTTAGTTTTCCTCCTATGACTTATGGAGTAGGCCAAAATTGTTGAACCAAAACCAAAAATTTTACATAATTTTAAGGATTTGATCTGTGGAGAGGCTGGAAATTGTTGATTGGGGGCTTGTGACGGGGTTTGCTTCCTGATCCTGGACCTCCAACATAGTCCTTGTTCATCATGGTGAATAACTCAGTCATATCGTCCACAAGTTTCTCTGATTCAATCTTCTGAAATGATCCATTATCATCAGATTGATCATCGTTCTTCAAGTTGTGTGTACTTGCTGAATTCATTGAATCACTCTCATTGCCCTGATCATGAAATTCAAATTAAGCGGATAATATAGTAACATAGAAATCACTCAAACTAGTATCAAGCAAATAGTATATTTGCGTACAATTAAAAGAGGAGAACCTGATAATGTAAGTTCTTTCGCGAGTCATGACCAAGAGGCCTATTGTAGTTTCCTGCATTTCAAAGGAGAAAATGCCAAATTGAGAAATGATTTCTTTTCTTTTCCTTTCCTTTCATCATTTCCAGCTCGATATAAGCTTAGTTGAGCAAACGAAACAATTTAGACACTCGATTAAGCTTGCAGTGAGGAGTTGATGGATACGAAAAAAGAACAGAGGAACAACATATTTCCATTTCACTTAATTTGCTTGAGAAATAAAAAAAGAATAGATGGATCAACTACAAAGAATTGCATACTTTTGCACGTAATGTGAATCTGAAAATTCGTGCAACTTTCTATTTATACATACATACAAGTATATATAGTACTATCCTTTTTTCACAAGAACATCTAATTAGATCTACCAAAAAGTTTTTTCTCAATTGTTCTTAGGTGGGTGTGGTCTTGCCATGTGATAATCAGCATTTAGAGCCACAAAACTTCCTGTATTGGCCTTCATCGAATGACTTTTACTAATTATACCGCTCATTTCTCTCAACTTCCCCTGCCCTTTACGGTAGTTTAAATTTCCAACAGAATGAACACTTGCACTTGCCGCACCTGATGATTCACCTTTCTTCACTTCCTTCATGTCTTTTGTTCTCTCTATCATCATTTTTCTTCCTCCCAGTCTGAATGCAGCAGCGGCGGGTACACTCTCCAAAACTTTCTGAAATTTCAATTTTAACTTCGTAAAAATAAAGAAATTTGATCAACTAATAAGTAAGTGAAGTTCGAGTGAAAACACTAAAGAAAAAGGGGAAATTATCAAATCAACTTTATTACCTTTTTCACACTAAGATAACTCTTTAGATCACTGGCGTTGTAATTTTCAGCCTCATGGACTATTTGTTTAGCTGCATATATTTTACTTTCCATTAGAAAGTAAAAATTATACTCCATTGAAGAGTGGAAAAGAAGAGAAAGGAAGTACATACCTTGGTCATCAGTATGAGCAATTGTATCCTTTATGGTAAGAAAAATGAAGAGTAACATAACAAGCATAAAGGAACTAAAACTTAAAGACACCATTTTTTGACCTCTTTTCTTTTTTTGGTATGTCTGTTATACTCTGCAACAATAAAGGAGAGGGAGGATTGCACATGGAAGGAAACAGGGGAGATTTATAGAAAGCCCAAATTTCAAACCCAAGTCAAAACTAGGGTTAGAATGGTTAACTTTTTCTTGTTTAAAAAATTGGTTAAGAGGTACAATTGAGCACCTGGGGAAACACAAAAGACTGAATAGAAAAAAAAAAATGGTCTATATGTGTTGATGTTAGGGAAAAAGGGCTATAATAGCGTGGAGCTGAAGATACGGTTGTTTTTTTCCCCTGTCTGCCGCGCCATGCATGCAAACGAGGAATTCTTTGTTTTGTTTTCTTGGCCTACCTAAATTTACACCTATCACTAAGCCTTCTATTTTTTCGTGTGATTCGTAGGTTATAAGTTTAAGTTACAGAATCAATTATTAATAATTGCATTAGAGTCGACCGTCTAAATTACACTTCTTAGGGTGCGTTAACTATGATGTCTAGTTTTGAAACTTTTAGTATAAGAAGCTGAGAACTTCAAAACTAATTCAAACTATATGAATCAGAATTAGTCGAGTCGCTAAATAAAGGTTGTTTTTTTTAAAAAAAAACAAAAGGCGAGGAATGATTTAGGTTTACACAAAGTGGTCCAAAAGTATTTGACTTTATGAAGAACTGGGGGAAAATCATAATTCCCCTAGCTCCTATCTTATGAAAAAGAACAAACTGTTAATTAACAGTTTATTTTATATATAAAAGCAGTGTTTATCCTTTACATTTTTAAGTTCGACTTCTATGTTCTTTTCGTCTTCTTTCATAAAGTTGTTCATATTTCTTCTTTGCTGGGGAATAGTATTATTTAGAGATACAGTCACACACACTATAATTGTTTCTTGGTAAAACAGTGAACCTAACTCTAGCTAGGATTAATTAATTAGGTAACCTTTACAAACCTAATGTTAACAGGCACCACCTGGCAGTCCTGGTCAACAAAAATTTCTCCTACCACTTATTGTTGTTACTATAGTTTTAGTTTTGTTTGTTGAACACACATGATTAATGAATTCTCTCAGATTTCCTTTTGCCAGATGTAAATGAAAGGAGCAGTGTATTATAAATTCACGAGTGAGACACGTATGTACTCTCCTCGTCACAAATTATCCATTGTGATTTTTGTAAATGATTGCCTAACATTATTTATTATTTTACTGTTATTAGTAATTGTTCTTGAAAATTACATAAAGACACTTCAATTATGAAATGATAATGTATAAATAGATTAAATATATAATAAAATATTTTTTTCAAATGTGTAAAAGATAAACACGACGAATAGTTTGTGATAGACGAGAAAGTATAATATTAGGTAAATGAGGATGGGTGATTATCGAGAGGAAGGAGTCGGTGAGGGGGAAAACCCAAAATGTTGAAGAAGAAGGAGAAGGAGAAGAACATGGGCAAGTGGTAAAATCTTGAATAACTAAACACCTAAACTATGATACATAACATTATTATAATATACTCACTTAACAACTCTTTTAACTTTACAGTTAGGTTTTAACAAACAAGTTCAGAACACGAGAGCTCGACCTCCCATTTTTTATTTATCTTTATCAGTGGGTGCATACCCCTTGTTCTTTAGTGTCTTTTAACTCTTATTTTACTAGTTTTAAATTGACGCATTAAAAAAACTAGTAGTTATTTGAACTAATTTAAACGTTTGGCTTTGATCACGTGTAAACGTAGAAATTGCTCCTAGATATCTAGCTTTCATTTTGTCATTTATAATGCCCAATATTGAGCAGAGGATACTTGTCCATATGTTTTTGTGAACGATACAAGTGTTCCATTTTTTTGAATGACAAGAATACTGTGTATATCTTATTTTATAATTCGGATATATTTGTCCTTTTTCAGTTATAAGTTTGGTGCCGTTCAGCTCTGTGTAAACACAGTGCAGTTCTTTGGAAAATGTAATTACCAAGTTACATTTCAGTCAAAAAGTGTTAACACACATTCGTTTACCTTGAGGTGTAAACACACAGTATTTGCAAACATCAAGCCATATTTATTGGTCCACTCTTGGATATTGTTACGTATTGAGGACAAATTTTAATATCCAAATATGTATTTAGATTTAGATTTCTTAACTTAATGAAAACAAATGAGGCCTAATTGTATATATAAATTCATGAAATAGAAACAAATTAATTGTTAATTACTCCCTTTTGCCTCTATTTATTTGTCTAATATTTCTTAGTTTGACAATTAATTTCACATTGTATCTTCAACTTATTAACATCAATGTCTTTGAAAAATATACTACCTCTGTCTCATATTACAACTCATCTTTTTTGTTTTGAGAGTTAAAAAAATCTATCTTTTATTGTAAATTTTTTATAGATCTATTAAACATTTTGAATTATTAATTATTGTGACTCATAGTACTTTTTACATAGTTTACAAATATATAAGTTTCATTCCAAAAAAAATTAAAAATTTGATGCATAAATTTTTAGACAAACTTAAATTATTTGACTTTCAAAACATAAAAAATCACTCATATTCACTATAACTAATAATATGTCAATTCAAAATATGATAAGTCAAATGGAATGGAAAGAGTACTTTTATTTGTCTAGCTAGTTTGAAAAATTAAAAAAACAATTTATAACCCAAGTCCAAATTTATTTATTATTAAAAACAGTTATTTTCGATGCATTAGATTTATTATATTTAGAGGTGATATATGATCAAACTTTTATATGAAATCGATCTTAATAAAATTAACCTCTATAATCATTTAGTTATTTATTTTGTGCATATTTTTATTTATAACAACTAAATGAGGTTTAAACATTATAAGAAAAATAATTATTAGTGGCAATTTATTTTTAATTGTGGTTAAATATGTATTTTTTGCTGATAATTGACAGTTTTTGTATATGTTTCTCAAGTCTTTAGCGTCATTGGTTCTACTGACACTTAATTAATGACGGTAAAAAACTTTAATACTCTTTATTAATGTAAATATTTAACGTCGCTTAAAGTTATTTTTGTCATAGTGAAATATTGAATATTAATATATAAACGTTATCACTATAAAGAGGTGTGACCGTAGGAAATTTATCGTTCTATTGATGGCTCTTTAAATGATATGTCAAAATCATGAAATATTTGTCGTTCTATTGACGGCTCTTTAAACGATATGTCAAATTGATAATGGACAAGTAATTAAAAGTGGACGGAAGAAGTTTCCCTTTGCCCGTCTCTACATATGTACTATTGTAATGCTCATTCAGTTTATAAAATCAATAAATAATTTATCATTACGTGTTTATTTTACTCTTACTATTAATTAATAATGTCCAATTTCTAAAATTAATAAATAATTTATCATTACGTATTTATTTTATTCATACTATTAATAATATTCATTTATCAATCTTTAGATGACTACATTTATTAAATATGGGTGATTTAGTAAAATCAATCCTATCATTTGCTGATACTTCATTCCTATGCAAGTCAATGATTGAGAATTATTATTAAACATAAGGATTACTAACGCTGTTCATTTGTAAATGTCATAATTTATCTTTTTTAGAGTTAAAATTTTATGATGTATTTTTTCTAATTATATTGCTATGCAAAAAATTGTAATTAGTACTTTTTTATATAGTTTTTGGATATTTTTTTCTTTTTAAAAATAAATTGATACAATATAATTAAACTTTAAAACTAAATTAAACTAACTTTCGATAAACGGAATATGACAAAAAAAATTAGACGAAAGGCTTACTAAACGATGTTCTCTACTTTGTACTAAGATTGATACTCATATTTTGTTTGTTTAAGCTGACAAGTAATTAAGTATATCACTATGATTGGTGATTAATTTTAATTAGTGGGATCGACAATGAGAAATGTGCTAATAGAGTCAGATATTACAGCTGAAATCAAAATGTAATTTCTAAAATCGAGGATAATGGAGTATTGAAACTCGTTGACCGTTGACTATATGCTTAGAGAAAAAGCTGTAAAGTACCAAATTTTTAACGAAATATTTAAGAAGATTACAAAAGCATCGAGACAGAGTGTGAACTATGAAGGTAACTTTTGCTCCACCATTCCCCGTTGACACAGTCTAAAACTTATTCATTTTTACTTTATCACATTTTATTTTATAAGAATTATTTGATTATTGATGAGAACTAATACTCCATATCATAATCATATAAAATGGGTGGGACGAAGAAATATTACACCACAAAGCAATATTAAATTATCTGATTTGATTGCACTACACTAGGATGGAGGATGTTGGACAATTAGGGATCGTTTGGCGTAAAGAATGACATCAAATTATCTTAAAATTGCATTATATATTGTAATACTTAATTTATTATTTGGTTGGCAAGTTCAGAATAACTTATCTCGAGATTAATATCATTTGATGGTATAATTAAATATATAACAAACCAATTGTTCTTTTAACCTAACTTATTTCATTATAACTAGTCTCATCAATTCATAACTTTGAATTCATAGTCTTGATTAGGGTTGTAGGCTTTGTTTTTGGGGTGTGAAGTACTTTTTGGTGTTCAAACACTGGGATTTGTGAAAAGGGAAAAAATATGTTTGGGTTTTCAAGAGTGTAGCACATGAAAGGCAATTGGCATGGCCACCGTGGGTGTCGCTGATTTCTCGATCTTCGGACTAAAACTTCATGCCATGACAAACTTTTTGCCAACAACAATTAACCCTTTTGGAAACTTGCAATTTACTTGCTTTGTCACAAGTTAGACTTGGCAAATCTTAAATATAAATAATTTATTTTTGTTGAAGTTTAGGGCTTTTTGTCTTTAAGTTGACGCAAAATTGATTTTTGTAGGTCAGACAGTCTTAATAAGTTTGAATGCTTAAAGTCAAATTTGATAGAGAATTTTTGTTTTTTTTAATTGACATATATATAAATTGAATAATTATAATATATTTAGTGTATTTTACAAATGAGGTTCAGAGATAGATTTTACATGGTTCGTGGACATTATGAAGTAAATATGTAAATTTTAAATTAAATAAAATTAGAATAATAAAGATTGACTCAACAATTTGAAAAGTTTATATAATGATATCGAAATAGTATTGCGCTAAATTTGATATAATGATATTAAAACAGTAGTGATTAGTTTTAGTACTTGAAATTTAAAGAAGATATCAAAAAATAAATTTGATCTAGATT